CATTTTGTTTCTGTTTTGTTTCTGACGGTTTTCATGTTTTTATTTTTGTTGGCGATGTTGTTATTATTGTCTTCTTAGCTTCATGTCTTCATATTATTTTCATTTTCAACTTAACAAGAAACCAAATCTTTTATTCCTTCTTTCCTTCCTTCCTTCCTTCTATTATTCTTATTTTGATTTTTCTTTTTTGCCATGCCTTCCTTTTCTTTTCAATTTCCCTCTCTTTATTTGCTTTTACATTCTTGCTTTGTTTCTTATATCATTTTTCACTAATTACCCTTTCCTTTCTTAATGAAATTCCATTTCTGCTTCTCCTGTTTTATTTACCTCTTTTCTCTCCTCTCCTTCAATTTTCAAAGAAAGAGGTAGTTGAGACCCCCGACAAGGAGAAGGAGGTCCCAGAATCAAGAAAAGATGAACTACGACGCAAAGCTTGTTCAGGAGAACCTTCAATCAAATGTTTATGATTCTTTTCTGAACGGAAGGAATACCCATCGCCATTCTTCCTGAGGCGCCTTAAAAGAAAGTAAAGGACAAAACGGTAGGAGAAGTTCCTAAAGATGAACCAGAGGCTGACCCAGACGCAAAGACGAGAGCAACCAGCTCCAATGGCGACAATACTATTTAAAATGGATATAAACGTCTTAAATAATTCCAGTAAAGTCGCCATCATTGCCTATGCCAAAGTGTAGGGACCTTAAGTTGCAGCGGTAAGGTCGCGATATTGAGGCGCATCAACCCTCTTTTGTATTGTTATTTCATGTTTGTCTAGTATTTTTCTCAATAAGCACCAAAGTTTTAAAGTAAAATGATGTCTTTTGGGAGATCTTTACTTAAAACTCTATTAACTATGCTTAAAACGAACGTAAAAATAAACTTCAAGATATAGGACAATTCATATCTTACTTTCATAGTTTTACGGCTGATATCGATTGAAAAATGTTTGAGGGAGTTTAAACGATCAATCGCTAACATCCCTTTGGACGCATATAGTGAGGAGCGACATTTAGTCTAAATATCCCTCATGAATTTAAACATAAGGTAGGGTCCCTCATATTTCAATCACCGGCAACATTGCTGGTTCGCATTGACCTATTAGAATTCTTATACTATTGTCAGCGGTCTCACTAAGCGTATATAAGAGATGAGATCACACCACCCAACACACTTCGAGATTAAAGGCTGCTCGTCGACAAAGGTGATACTGCGTCGCACTTTTTTGAACGTTGCAAGAACTTCAAAGTTCAAAGAATTTCAACATTGGATTGGATTGCGCATACCACATTGATTGCGATTCGTGTTTGGGATAAAAGAGCAAGTGGAATAGCTATTTCATTTCGGTGCTGCTGCCTTCATTTTGAATAGGCTCTGGAAAGTTTTGAAATTACGTCACTTGGTTTCATTTACTTACCGTCTTCGTCAATCTAGGGAGGACACCACATCGTTATCAATATTGATGTGTAATTAAAGCCTGTCTACTAAAAGTAATATTATTAAATATGCTGTCAGCTATTTCAGCTAGACAGCAATATTAATGGTATTTCTTTGATTAGAGAGCAATATCAATAATATAGACCCTTTGCATGTGACGTCAAAACATCTCGATCTGGGGGACAAAACAAAAGAATTCCAATCTCCTGAGAATTGGAAACTATTGTTTTGTCCCCCAGATTGAGCCGCATTCCAAAGTGCTGCAAGGGGTCTTGCTTTRAGTACACAGCAATGTCAGTAATATTGATGTCTTTTGAAATCAGCCCAACTCTCCCCTGTAAGTATCAATGCCACCCGCGGGGCTGAATTCAAACCTGGGACAGGTTTACCATCGAGATTCAAACCCGACATCAAACAATAGAGATAGGGCGTCGTTGGTTTTTAACTAGTCGTCTACGTGCCCGCTTTTTAATGAAGTTTGTAATGAAGTATATTCTTCATGTCCTAGATCTGTTATTATTGCGGCTAAAGCAAGTCAATCCACCATTGTCGGCGCCCGCCCTAACAATCTAAGAAAGGTATCCCCCAGCAATGTTCTCACGACTGTTTCGGGATGCGAACAAAGCTATGAAGTAACTGTATTGAAGGCTATGCCAAGATTCGGTAAAAAAAAAAAATTTAAAAAAAATGGAACGTTAGCAAAGAAATGCGTAGCCTGATAACGAGGCTGTTAATTCATACGATGCGTTAGTGCCATACATCTTTCTTAATTTTGAAAATTCAAAAAAAGAAATTCATTCAACTCAACCCACACCACCCCTGCGTAATTCGACTTTGCACGATCACCCCCTGGAAATCATAATGTATAACTTCACCTATTATAAACACAGTATAAATAATTCTAAAACTTAAAAGATTATGAATATCCTTTTACAAGAAGGAAGCGAAGCAGGCAAAAGAGAACGCAAAATGTTTCACTGAATTTCTCACACAAAATAAGTTGGATGTAATATAATTGTATATATTTCTTTATTTTTTAATAATTCTCTGCATAAGAAGTGCTGATAAATACACTGGATAAAATGTACATCCAGCACAATAGAGCTACCATCTCCAAGGGTAACAATAATTAATTGCTGCAAATAATAAATTTTGAACTTCCCGGGGGGAAATGTTAACATTGGAAAATCCTAATAAATGTCCTTGCAATAATACAATAGTGTCTTAATAATTATACCTTAAAATCTAGATTCGTACACTTAACTTGCTTCTCTAGGGATTTAGGGTAAAAGTGCCTTGATTCCCTAAGGTAATACTAATATATATATATACATATAATAATAATAATAACACCTAAAATGTTTCATTTGAAGAAATACGTAACAATATAATTGGTCTCTTTAAGAATGAAAAGAGTATAAGAATCAAAGTGACACACAGAACGAGCCAACATTTTATCTGCTAGTTAATCAATAAAAAAGAACGAGCGTGACTGCAAACCCACATCAAATTCGGGTTAGAATTAAGAGATATTGTCGATAAAAGGCGGCTCACTGACTGTTAATATGTTGTAAAATATTTTCACTTCTAGGTCTTACCTACCCTGCTCATAATTAAAGAGACAAAACCCTAAGTTTGATCATTTGGTAAACATGGCCTTGGTCATGGAATGATCGCTTTGATTTTCTGTGTTATTTGTTTGTGACAATTTGGACAATCTGTTTCCTTTGCTGCACACGCATCGCACATTAAATAATGTGAACACGGAAGGGTCACAATGCTACGGGTGTTTTCTTGACACTGGCTACATAGCAATGATTGCTTGACATTCATAACCTGGTAAGGAGAATAAAGGAAGACTCAATAGAAATATGCGGATGTATGGATGTGGAGGATACATAGACCTCGAGTCATTATCGACTTTAAGATTTGCAAAACCTGCGACTGCGACGTCTACCGGAGGCGTAAATAACTTCACTATGGGGTTTCGCGCCTTAAAACTGAAAGTCGACCTGTCTTCACTGTGGATGAGTTAACTTTACTGACAATGTTTTGAATGAAATCTTCAATGAACAAAACCCCAAAGAGAAATTATTTACATTTCCGGTTGACGTGGCCGTCGTAGATTTTGCAATTCCTAAAGTCCCTATTGGTTGTACAGGGTTCGTGCCGAGGTAACGACTTAAAATTCAAGGACTATTCAAGGAGTATTCAAGGACCCAAAAATGAATTTGCAAGGAGTATGTTCAGCTCAATATGCCAAGGTTTTACACGGTAGTTGCCTTGGCCGACTTTCAGATTTTCCAATCTTTCCGACTATATTTTTTTCAGAACCATGCAAGTAATGATCAAAGCAAAAATTCAAGGAGTTT